CCCCAAAACCCCAAAACCCCAAAACCCCAAAACCCCACTTATTCATCAGCTTTCTTATAATAAATATTTTAAAGTAAGATGTAAGCTTTGTATTAGACTATATGTTTTAGTTGATGGGAACCAACAAGCCCAAGTATAAAATATTAGTCGCAGAAGATGATCCCTTTCAAAGACTTTCGATCATAGATATTCTTAGAATATCAAATTATGATGTAACTTCAGCTGAGAACGGGGCTATTGCTCTGGATAAGCTGAGAGATCCAAACAATCAGTTTGATCTAGTCCTGCTAGATCTTCTCATGCCTGAAAAGTCAGGCAAGGATGTATTAGAAGCTCTAAATAAAGATGATAAACTTAGTAAAATCCCTGTTATAGTCATGAGTGCTAAGAATGATAAAAGTATCACTGCCGAGTGCCTCGCACTCGGAGCAGTATCCTTTATTGTCAAGCCCCTGAGAGTCCAGGAATGAAGAAGCTTCGAAAACTTTATTGGCTCAAATGGAGAGACAGAAGCTGGACAAAACCTTGGTAAATATGCAGTAATCAAAGCACTTGGAAGCGGAGCTGCAGGGTCAGTAGATCTTGTCCAACACAAAGAAACAGGTGAATATTATGCACTCAAAACAATTCCTTTGTCTCATCTGAACGAAAGGGAGAGAAGTTCAGCAGAGCTCGAAGTTCATTTTCTGAGAGTTCTTGTAGGGCCTACACTAATAAAATCATATCACTCCTATGTAGAAAAGAACAATATTTATATCATAATGGAATTAGCCGAAGGAGGAAATCTCTCTGACAAGATTATGGCTGCGAAATTTAAAAAGAAATATTTCGATAAAGATACAATCCTCAACTGGGCTGCACAAATAATTCTTGGAGTAATGGTAATGCATTCCAAAAACATACTTCACAGAGATCTGAAATGCCAAAACTTGTTCCTCACCAGAGAAGGAATCCTTAAAATTGGAGACTTTGGAATCTCAAAACAGTTGGATACTATGTCAAACCTTGCTGAGACCAATGTTGGAACTCCTTATTTCATGGCTCCTGAGGTTTGTAAGGGTGAGCTTTATGGAGAGAAGGCAGACATTTGGGCAATTGGGTGAATCCTATATGAACTCACTTTCTTAAGAAAACCATTTGATGCAGATACTATCCAAGGAGTGTTTGATAAAATCATTAAAACCCCAGTGAAATGATCCGATCTTGATATAGACACTGATCTTCAGATGCTAATTATCTCTACTCTGGATAAAGACCCATCTAAAAGACCAGATATTTGGGATTTGGCTAGTTTACCTTGCATAAATGATAGAATCAACAAGTTCATCAAGGAGCAAAAGTGTGAGGAATCAGTAAACGGTGTCTTTGGAGGAAGAAACTTCGTTGAAGAGAGAGATACTGAGGATCCTGATAATCCTTTCTACTCAGTCTTCGATATCAACAAGCTTGACATGCTTGCTCATTTAATCAGAACCGATATAAATATAGAGGAGATTAATGGAGGGTGGTTCAAAAGGACTGAGAAATGCGCTACTGGAAACTCTATCTTAAACTGGCTCAAGGAGCATATTGAAAAAGATGATAAGAAAGTAGAAGAGATCGGCCAGAAAATGATGGACCAAAATATAATTCAGAGAATTGACAATGCAAAATATTTTCAAGGATCTCATACAGTTTACTATAAATTTTATGAAGATAGAGATGACATCCCCAGTAATTCATTAAGGTCCTGGAAAGGGGAAGTAAGATCTGCTCTTGACGTCTCAGTGGATCTAGTAGTTGAGATTGGAGAGATCTTCCAAGACTCCATTGTTGAAGTTGATGACAATTGAGTTATCGACTCTGAGGAAGCAATAAAATCTCAGAAATATGATGATTTTATCTCTAATATCGCACAACTTGAAGTAATTGATTTAAAGTTCAATACTTTCAATGAGGGATTATGCTTCTTCGTCAACGTCTATCAAGTTATGTACCTCCATTTCTTTTTGAAATATGGAAGCGAATATGAAGAGGAAGAAGAGGAGAAGAGCTCCTTTTCAAACATCTTAACCTATTTCTGGCCAAATTCTACTGACAATTTTTTCTATAATATTGGAGGATATATGTTTACTCTTGATCAGTTGAAGCATGGATTATTGAGAGGAAACAAGAAACCTCCATATTCTTTCTTTAGAACTCTCTCAGACAGAGATGACAGAGCCAACATTCTCGATAAGCTTAGTGATCCTAGAATCCTCTTTGTCTGCTTTGACAAAGGACAGGTTCCTGAATCTGTCGAGTGATTTGACGATCCAGATACTCTTGAAGAAAAACTTAATGAAATTTTGACAACTTATCTCAATGATAAGGTCGAAATTGATCCTACCAACGAAGAGGTAACACTTCCAACAATTTTTGAAGAATACAGCGCCGATATGGGAGGCTCTGAAGAAAAAGTTCTGAGGTTCATCTGGAACTGGTATGAAAATAACGAGTTTGACCTTGACGACCTTATTAAACTAGTCAAAAAGAAGAGCATCATCATCAAATACGAAGGCTAAATTGCCCCTAATTCTCCCAAATAATCACTTTCCCCAATTCCCTCACCTCTAACCCCCTTTCCCCTTCCAATACCCCTTTCCAAAATCTCTTCAATTTCCTCTCACCAACCCGGGGTTTTGGGGTTTTGGGGTTTTGGGGG